CTGAAGAATACAGCTCTGTGAAAATGCATACTTACTGTGTGAATGTTTAAAGACACTGAACATTGTGCACTAATATGTCAGTCAGCAGCTTCAGTACAAAAGAGTTTGGTTTGGTGGAACTCTATTGCTCATGCACTGCCACAACTTTCATGTATTTTTATGTATACATTTTATACATTTATAATGCAGTAGGATAACTTAACCTTTCCTAATAGCTCCCACTTTAGTTTGTATGCTGCAGTGAGTCAGTTCAGGTGGTCAGGATTACTGCACAGATGTGAAAATGTATGTAAATTTAAAATAATTTCTAGATCTTGACAAGTTGTTTTAATCATAAAGTAAAATACTATATTGTTCAGTTCCAGGTACATGTTACTTAATGTTCTGTGGCTTTGTAGATCCACATCCACTGATCTTTAAATTGTAATGCACATGTGTAAATGAAAATTAATATAATATATTGTTGAAATTGCACTTATTTTCCTTAAGAAAATTCAGGTTGTTCATAATTGTTTTTGAAAAAGAAAGTTTATTAATGTGATCAATTTTCAGAATGTATTCTATTCTTTGCCAATAAAACAAGAGAACAATTAGGGGTTGTTGCTATTTATTAGTAATTAAATGCTTTAAAGGGAACTTGCAACTCTAGCCATTTCTCGCAGGTTTTCACTTTTGTCATCGCATGTCTTCTCAACGATCCCCCTACAGCTCTGGGAACGTGTATTTCCAAAACACACCGTAAAAAAAACTCAAACCCTCCCTCCCCCTTTCTACCGCTGCTGATGTGCCTTTTTTTCGCCGCAACTTTTTCGTGTGGAGCAATATCTACCAGATGGAATACCATTATACACTAACGTTATTCGAGAGGGGAATTGGGAATTGGAACGGAGGGTCGCCGGTTCAAGTCCCACAGACCACAAAATATGGAGTGTTGAACCTGGTAGCTGAGAGTGCCCAGTTTCACCTCCTGGGGGGAGTGCACTGCCGAGGTGCCCTTGAGCAAAGGCAACCTAACCCCGAAACCTCTCATGGGGTACTGGTAAGCGCGGCAGCCCCATCAGCTCCACCATCCTCTTCTCTCCCCTTTGGCATGTGCACAAGTGGCATGAAGTGTGCATTTCAAGCCTGTGGTGTGGTGTATATAAAAAAAAAAAGAGTGAAAAAAACCAATTTCCCCTAAGGGGATCAATAAATATTGTCATTCTTCTTCTTCTTCTTCTTCTTATTTAAAACTGCATTATCTTATTTAGTTTAGTGAGGACTTATATAATGATAGAAATAAATAATGCTGAGGAAATCGTGTTTTGTTTGTCACGCGTTTCTGGAATTTCTTTTTAAAATATATATCGGCTGATAATGATGACTATCAGATTTTTTAAATCACAAATATTTGTATCGGTATCGCCTTAAAAGTAGCTTTACTCGGTCGGGCTCTAAATGTCAAATGACCAATCATCAATCCAATCCAGGACTTTCAAGCTGACACTGACTCTACTCTGACTTACTTTACTAGTCTGGTTTTCAGCATTGCTGCGTTTTTTGGATTGTTCCTGGACTCATGTCGTACAAGAACACA